AATGTTTTTACGCAACACTTAGTGGCAATAATCACTGAAATCAGCTGCTTTCTGTCAGGAAATGTTTAGATTGTTGCACCTGTTGACAGGTATGTTGCTTCACCGGTCAATGAGCTCTAATTTGTCTGGGACCGTTTATTTTTTAGAATAAAAAAAATTCAAACTAAATAAATTTTATTGAATTATCATTTAGTCATTTTTTTTTTGTTTTTACGTTCTTTAATTTTATTTAAATGACTAGTTTAAATTCATCCTATAAGGGGAGGATGTGTGAACTTTCAAGCAAAGCTTCGGCTAAATTCTTCACTCTCTAATGATTCTGCATCATTAGGCAGACATGCATTGTTTGAACTTTGTTGTGATCATTATGTTTCTCCTTTTGGAAAACAGTATTGCAGAAAGTAATGATCGTATCCGTAATGCCTTGAAAGACATTATAGGCACTCTTTAAAAGATTCAGCAAATTGTCCTCATGTTCTGCTGATTTTAGAAGAACATAAAAAGTGCACCTAAATGGAAAGATCAAAGATCTCCTGAAGACCTCTCTGTAGATAGATGGAGTCTTGTGACATGAAGATGCCTCTGATCTCTAACAACTGCTCTTTCCTTTGCTTCCTTAACTAAAATTTTTTCTGTTTCAGTTTACAGGATCTGCTGAGGACCTATGAAGCCGTTAAAAACTTTAGAGTCCGAAGATTACGGCATTTTTGATAAAAAAAAAAGACGATTTAATCTGAGATCATGAGAACTTCAATCCACTGAACATCTGCCACCTGTTAAAGAAGGAAAACAAAAACAAAAACTTTGAAACATCAGTTTCTCTTGTCCTGCTGTTTATATGCTGCTGTTTTTATTTGAGTCTGAAAAGAAAATTGGTGGAATCAACCTTTTTGCCTTTTGTTAACTATATAGATATATAGATAATAGATATATAGATCATGTTTTAAGCATCCGTTACCTGCAGTTTTAATGTCCTGAATTTCTTCTATACGTTTTTTTGTTTTGTTTATATGTAATTTATGTATCTTATATGCTGCTGGGATGTATTTAGCATATAAAGAGATTTTAGACAAACCTGGTTAAATAATGACTAAATAAGATAAAATACATATATATAAAAATTTTTTGATTGATCTAAAAAGAAATACTCTCGGAAAATGTCATTTCTTAGGAAACAAATATTTGGAACTGGAAAAAAAAAACTTTTATTGAATTTTTTTCAAAAATAAACACACATATACATGTGTATAAACGAATAAAGAGTTTTATCTGAAATGGAAAATGCTTTTGTAGAGTTTTGTCTTCATTTTTTGCTGCAGATTGGTCATTCTTTCTGCAAATTGTAGGTTTTAGAGTCTTCGTTCCATTTTTTTTTTATCTTAAATGCAAAATTTTATATATATATCTTTTTACAATTTTGATATAATTCCTGCTCTTAGAGGGTCGCTCTGTCAGCTTAAGGCACATTTTAGAGTCTCTATACTCCAGTTAATGTTTCATTGATTACTAAATCAGTTGACGGTTATTTCAATATTATCACGATTTATCCAATTATTTGTTCAGCCCTAATTAGAACATTCTTAAATAAGGTTTAAGAGATAGCCATAAAGCACATAGTTTATCTATATTTTATTTCTTAAAATCTTTAAATAATTATAATTTTAGCTGTTGCTCCAACAAAGACATTAAAATATAAAATAGAAAACCATAATAATGAAGTACAGAGTACTGTTTGCCCTGTAGGGGTTCAGTTGTTCTGATTTAATAAAGCTGTTGTTCTGTGCTAATCTGTTTAATTATCAGATTCTATTTCTAGGTGCAGTAACATGCAGCCCTACGGAAGAGGATTAGGGCCACTGAAAAATTTTATTTTATTTCAGTATAGTATGGGAAAAAAGTCAGAATTCTTAATTTAATCTCAGAATTCTAACTTTAATCTCAAAATTCTGACTTTAATCTCAGAATTTTGAGATTAAATTAAGAATTCTGAC